CAAGACTAAATGCGCCTACATCACACTTTTGGTTGTTCGTTTACTTAAAACGTGGAACGTTTCTGTCGAGTGGTTATCACTGTCGTGTAGAATTCGGTAGGTTCAGTGTTCGGATCTTGTCTCGATCAGCGTTTTCGACTGAGGATATTTGTTGTTTCCCTCTGTCCAGGCGAACCATGGGATAGTGCCCTAGAATGGGTCACGGTCGCTTTTTCGTTCTTTACAATTCCTAATTAACAGCCATCTACAGTTTAACGTAATGTAGATGAAAGTTGTCATTAAATAATCCAAGAATCAGTCAGTCGCATGCTTGCTTTTAGTGTCTCCATAACTGCGCAACTGACAGATGTATCCCAGTCAGCTCCTCTAAAAGATAAGGCATCAAATATGCTTGAATTCCATTTGTATCTGTTAAGTCGTGAGCTATCTTATCGCATGTCTTTACATAAGAAGTCTGAGTTAGTTTGTTTGTTTGTAAACGTAATTACTCTCGTTTCCTAGTTTCGGTTTGAAAATATATGCTTTTGCGTTGCTGCATGAAAATGGGAGATAAGGATTGGATGTTTCCGAAGTGGAAGATATTATTGTTTCCACAGTTTAATTTTCCGATATAAGCTTAGGTGCAGGTCGATATTAAGTTGTGTTGGGAGAGTCGAATTCGTGTGCCAGATGTATATCCCGTTGACATTTGTTTCAAAAATTCTTCTTGTGTGTAAATTTTCAAGTGGTGCCATGTAGGCCTAGGCATTTTCTACTCTTGTGACGGCCGTATGCAAGTTTACGCAAGTTCTTGAAGGACAGTTTTTTACGAATGTTGTAAGTGGACGGCCTTATGGATACAAATGTGGTTCAATATGTAATGTTGTCTTCAATCTCGTATAAATCTGTCTGCAGTCGTATTACATTTAATCCATGAGGATTTACGTATGGCACATTCATATAGGCCATGCGTCTCATGGATATGAAAATAAGAATGACAGTCTGCATGAAAAACTTGGCGTGGCTTCTAGGTACGTGATTGGTTAAAATTATGTCACACTGTAATCTGGATTCGAAAATATGCAGCACTGAATGTCGCAGTCGAATGGTTAGCTCCAGTGTTTCGCATTCCGAAGGTCACTGGCTACAGATGCCGCCTATCTTAACTTAAAATTGTTCCGAGCTTTTCTCATCCCCTTCAGATAAAATCTAATAGTTTCGCTAAAACAATCCGACCGCTTCCTTCGTTGTTGTCATCCGCGAATCATTCTTGCTTTCAAACGCATAAAGCGTCGTTGAATATGAAATCAGTCAGAATATATACTTGCAGTTATTCTGTCTCATGCTGTTTGTTAGCATGGGACACTTTACTACATCGCAGTCTCTACCAGTGTTCCGCAACCGGTTTGCCGCGAATCTTTTGAAGAAATTGTGCATTTGCACGTTAGAGTTAGAAGAAGGCGATTAGAATTCTTAATACACCCGCCTGTACCTACTTTTAATTGACAGCCGTCGGGCACATTCTCAGTGCCTCACATTCTTGGCATAGAATTTTTTTATTTCTGCGATCGGGTGAGAATGTATGTCTGTGGATCTGGGTCGAGGACGGGCCCAACGTCCTTTCCCCAGATGACTGATGAGTGAATATGGAACAGCGGTGCAACAATGATGCTGACAGGGGGAAACCAAAAGACCCCGAGAAGAACCTGCCCCAGTGCCGTTTTGTTCACCACAAATCCCACGTGGGCTGCCCTAGGAGCGAACCCCTTGCTCTGTATACAACATGTCGTCGACTGGACGTTCAGAACTTATTCCTTGTGGACTCAGGTCGAACGGTCGGTGTTTCGAATCTTGCCTATGATGTGGATCAATTGAAATCAACCCCTTGATGTGCTGGTTAATACTTATGAAATAAAATGTGACGCAAAATATCTCTGAGATTCCTTGGTCCTTGCAAATACCTCGTTGGTAGCCAACCGGTCATTGTACGGGGAAGGATTGGAAGCGGCAGCGCGTAGGGTGTCTTTCTGTTCCCTTGCCCTTTCCGTATTACCTCCCTCTCATACTATGACGTAGCTGAGGCACGCAGATATCACTAGACAACAAACTTTAATGAGCTGTATATATCGGAAATGAAACTAATCAATTCTTATGTATTTTCGTCCGCTGAATTCGAAAATGACAATAAGAAAGCTTAGTTAGTTCGTGTTTTGAATATATTTTGTACAGAGAAAGAGTTCAAGTTAGAGTGGAGGAAATGCATTTTAAGAGACATTGCACCCCATTTTACTGTGTGCTTCCAACAATTTGTCTACTAATTCCCTGTAATTTTTTGTAAAGGAATCTGACGAACGCGATAACAGGATATTTTAACATTTTCTTCAAGTGCATTCCATTGCCTAAATCGCGATCCTAGCAACTCTGCCTTATGCTTAGGCGAGTCTAAATCTCTCACTAGATCATTCAGTTCACTCTGAGTCACTCTGTGAGATGTAGAAGGTAAAGTTTCTGGCACAAACTCTTTATCTTGAGATGCCGATGATCTAGGAATGGCGTCATCTGATGGCGGTGATGGTGAGAATTCTTCAGGCGTGTAGGAGGTAGGAGGGACAGGTACAGGTAGTTCATGGTTGTGGGGTATAGGACGAATGGCTGAGGGGATGTTTGGATAGATCAAAGCATGTTTTTTTTATTGTTTATGCCGATGACAGGAGGAATCATACAGAAGTGGCAGTCGTTTACATGATTATGCGGTTCCCGCCACACCATGGGCACAGCGAAGAGCATAGACTGCATTTTTCCTTTCAGCCACACACGTAGATTTGTAGAACACTTCAGACAGCAAATATGGGGTGTCCATGCCACCCACTTACAACCAAAATAAAGGTGGTTCGCTTTCTTAACGATGGGGGCCAAATTTCGTTTTTGTGATTTAAAAGTCATTTCTCCACAGATATAACAAACGTTGTTAGGATTATTGACACATTACGCGACATTTTGTATATTTTAGTGTTAAAAATTTCTCATTTAAGTACTCACAACGACGTTTTTGCTGTTTACTACATAATTATTCTAAGACGAAGTGAAACACAAAATCCGCACTCCACAAAACACTTGTTTGCCAAACAGAACTGAACCAATTTATTAATTATCCCTTAGGGATGTTGACTAGACCTGCAGAAAGAAATAAAACCTTCTCCACCCTTGTGTATGTTGTTTCTGAAGTAAGTAGTCCATTACAATTCTGAAAATTACGAAAATAGAGCGAAACAGCTTGGTATGAATATCTTCGAAATGCGAACCAATCATGCAAAATGAATATCATTTTCGTGTTTAGCAGCTCAAAATTAGTAAAAATTGGTTAGTTTCATCTCCGATATATTTTGGCTGTTGAACAGTGTATTTTGTGTCCAATATACATGCCATTTAAGAATCCTGATATGACAGGTTTAAAATAAGCCATTTCTCCTCATATGTTGTAGCCTTATCCCCACCCAGTGCCCCTTATGATGTCGGTGGATTGTAAAAGTTCCGTCAAATCAACGCGGTGTGCGGGAGCGGTAGAGGGATATCGATGTAGATGCGGACTGTTATCTACGAGCCTGCCCTCTCTTCCTCGGATCTGGTTTGTTAAACATGACCTCAGGGCATCAGCGTCTGACAACAAATTATGATGATTTAGTGCCGGGTTGGAGCTGTGGGAGGGATATAGTAGTTTGAGTAGTGAATTAATAAATAAATTTAGATGTTTCTTCATGTTGCGCAATAACCCTTACAGCTGTAGGCTTCTGATGTAGTGAATCAGATTCGGTACGACACTGCTCGTAAATGTGATGAGGTATTATCCTTACACTATTTTTGTTATACACTTTGTGGATATAAAATGAATTCCTTATATAAAATACGGGAGCTGCATACATTGTATGTAATGCTTTTAGATTGATATGTGCAAGGTGTGTAGACAGTGAACGATATCATGATCGCTGCTATCATCACTGAACCTTTGAATTGCCAAGAGATGTCAATATGCAGAGAAATGCAGTGTTTTTCCTCACCGAAGGATTGATTACGCCAGTAAGGCTTTTCTACATTAAAACATAGGGGGTTGAATGGCTTCATGACTTGGAATCTGGTCTCGAACCGGCTTCATTGTTGGAGATCTTGATTTGTAAAGTGCAAATTGTTACGTAGTTCATTGGGCTTTACTGCGAAGCGTCTACGTCTGAATTGACAGACATTTCGATTTAACCATCATTTTGCGTTAACCGGCTCAATCACGCCCCTACAACAAACGGGGTGAGGTCTTAGTGGGTGAGGTACACAGTTCTTGAATCTAAGTTGCCCGAAGTTTATATTCATGGTGCAGTATTTTCCAAGTCTAATTTTTGAGGTTTCCCCTTTCGTATGTATAAGATGCTACTTTGAAAGAGGTTCGAACTCGTCTTGTTTTAAAGTCCGTGGAAGACTTGACTATGAAAATGTTGAAACAGGTCTTTCAACTTTCACGAATGCCCCAGGTCTCTTCTGTTTGACTTAATTTTCGTAAAGTATTCTTGGAATACGGGAATTTTCCATTCCTCATAAAGTTTATCACTTTCTTTTATCCGTGTACCAGTATAAACCATCCTTATTTATTATTTGCATCAGATGTGTTAAGTTCTTAGTTCTGGTGTCTCTGACATTAAAACTGGCACTATCAAGTTAATAATATTTGCTACCTGATTTAGTTTCAGTGTTATTCCAGGCGATAATAAATCATAGTTTTCCTCTATCTGTATGTTAAGTGACGTAACTCGCAATGTTGTTTGTGTGACTGCTATAAGTGACTTACTCTTCAGTATCACGCGCCAGTGCTGAAATCACTCTGTCATTATAGAGCAGCAAGTGCCTTACTGCTGAGTTATCAATCTGCTTAGTGATGACCGTCTGTTTCTACCTTGTGTTACGTATCTGCCTGGTGTTGGTTGTTGCTGAGATTGGCAAGACCCAGTGAACGTCTTGTGAGAATTGTGTTTTGTGAAATTGTAAGTGCAACAGTACCATCAAAATGGAGTACGACTTTCCCATAGTTGTCGAAGATTATGATAAAACTGATGACATTCAAATATGGGAAACTGAACTTCATGATTTCATAGTGTGGTATATTGTACCAGGTAAGGACAACTAAATATGTGGGTTACTTAATTTTTGTTTCTTGATCAGTGTTTTACATGACGATTGTTGTATTCTGGGTTTTTGCGCTGTGTAGTCTGGTAGAAGTTTACCGACGTTTGAGAGGTCCTTGCTGCCTCCATCATCAAGGCGATGATTATGATTTGTCGGTAAACTTCTACCAGACTACACAGCGCAACAACCCTGAAGTTCACAAGTTGAAAGTATGTAAATGAGATGCTAGAAATTTTGATTTTTTGCGTACACATTTTATTTGCTGAAGACATTAACATTGAACGGAATAGGACACATCAGCTAGTACAAATTATCTTATGTTAATTTTTAGATCCTATTTGGTAAGGAAATTTAAAAAAATATGTAAATAAGATGCTAGAAGTGGTGTTAAACATGGCAAAAAGTAAATTAGTGAAAGGCACGCGTACTTCTACATATTCTAAGAGGTTTTTTAAACAAAAACTAAAAACGTTGCACGTTGAGAAACCAGACTAACATTACTGAAAGAAAAGAAGTATTAACGACATTGGTCTCACACATATTCGTCCTTTTTCTGTTGTTTTAGCCTTTACCATACTCTCGTAACTCCACTTCCTTATCTTGCCCTCACACCTCTTCCCCACATTTTCGCCTGGCATTCCGAAGTCAAATTTGTTTGAATATACGACTCAAAGATACCAGGTGTAAATATGGGATAATGAAACATTACGTTATCTCATATTACCTGCGACATCACTTTAAGACTTTTGAAGTTATAATAACAGTTACAAGAATTTAGAAGGTCGTACATTTGCTTTCGTGGCTATTAAATCCTTTGAAAGTGTTACAAAGTTCAAATATTTGGGAACAACAATAACAAATCCAAATGAAATCAGACGGGAAGACAAAATATCTTGAACTGAGAAGTAGCAAGCATTTCCGGAATTTAGTCTCCTCCTAACTTCCTCATGAGTATCATTTGGATTTGTTATTGTTGTTCCCAAATATTTGAACTTTGTAACACTTTCAAAGGATTTAATAGCCACGAAAGCAAATGTACGACCTTCTAAATTCTTGTAACTGTTATTATAACTTCAAAAGTCTTAAAGTGATGTCGCAGGTAATATGAGATAACGTAATGTTTCATTATCCCATATTTACACCTGGTATCTTTGAGTCGTATATTCAAACAAATTTGACTTCGGAATGCCAGGCGAAAATGTGGGGAAGAGGTGTGAGGGCAAGATAAGGAAGTGGAGTTACGAGAGTATGGTAAAGGCTAAAACAACAGAAAAAGGACGAATATGTGTGAGACCAATGTCGTTAATACTTCTTTTCTTTCAGTAATGTTAGTCTGGTTTCTCAACGTGCAACGTTTTTAGTTTTTGTTTAAAAAACCTCTTAGAATATGTAGAAGTACGCGTGCCTTTCACTAATTTACTTTTTGCCATGTTTAACACCACTTCTAGCATCTTATTTACATATTTTTTTAAATTTCCTTACCAAATAGGATCTAAAAATTAACATAAGATAATTTGTACTAGCTGATGTGTCCTATTCCGTTCAATGTTAATGTCTTCAGCAAATAAAATGTGTACGCAAAAAATCAAAATTTCTAGCATCTCATTTACATACTTTCAACTTGTGAACTTCAGGGTTGTTGCGCTGTGTAGTCTGGTAGAAGTTTACCGACGTTTGAGAGGTCCTTGCTGCCTCCATCATCAAGGCGATGATTATGATTTGTCGGTAAACTTCTACCAGACTACACAGCGCAACAACCCTGAAGTTCACAAGTTGAAAGTATGTAAATGAGATGCTAGAAATTTTGATTTTTTGCGTACACATTTTATTTGCTGAAGACATTAACATTGAACGGAATAGGACACATCAGCTAGTACAAATTATCTTATGTTAATTTTTAGATCCTATTTGGTAAGGAAATTTAAAAAAATATGTAAATAAGATGCTAGAAGTGGTGTTAAACATGGCAAAAAGTAAATTAGTGAAAGGCACGCGTACTTCTACATATTCTAAGAGGTTTTTTAAACAAAAACTAAAAACGTTGCACGTTGAGAAACCAGACTAACATTACTGAAAGAAAAGAAGTATTAACGACATTGGTCTCACACATATTCGTCCTTTTTCTGTTGTTTTAGCCTTTACCATACTCTCGTAACTCCACTTCCTTATCTTGCCCTCACACCTCTTCCCCACATTTTCGCCTGGCATTCCGAAGTCAAATTTGTTTGAATATACGACTCAAAGATACCAGGTGTAAATATGGGATAATGAAACATTACGTTATCTCATATTACCTGCGACATCACTTTAAGACTTTTGAAGTTATAATAACAGTTACAAGAATTTAGAAGGTCGTACATTTGCTTTCGTGGCTATTAAATCCTTTGAAAGTGTTACAAAGTTCAAATATTTGGGAACAACAATAACAAATCCAAATGATACTCATGAGGAAGTTAGGAGGAGACTAAATTCCGGAAATGCTTGCTACTTCTCAGTTCAAGATATTTTGTCTTCCCGTCTGATTTTTAAGAACCTGAAAATTAAAGTATACAAAACAATAATCTTGCCTGTTGTTTTGTATGGGTGCGAAACATGGTCTCTCACCCAGAGGTAGGAACACAGATTGCAGGTGTTTGAGAATAGAGTGTTGAGGTGAATATTTGGGCCTAGGAGAGAATACGATGAGGCGTGGAGAAAACTGCATAATGATGAGCTTAAAAATCTGTACTCCTCCTCCAATATCAGGGCGATTAAGTCGAGAAGAATGAGATGGGCGGGACATGTAGCGCGCATGGATGGGACAAGAGGTGTGCACCGGGTATTGGTTGGGAAGCCTGAGGGGAAAATACAGCTGGGGAGACCTAGACGTAGATGGGAGGATAATGTCAGGCGGGATCTATGGGAGATAGGAGTTGAAGGAGACTGGATTTTGTTGGCCCAGGACAGGGTCTAGTGGAGGGGTTTGGTTAATTCGGTCATGAACCTTCGGGTTCGGTAAGCCATCTAGTTAGTTAGTACATTTGCTTTCAGAAGTCAATTATATTGTAGAACCTCGCCGTTAGAAGTAGCATAATTAGTAACAAAAGTACATGCGTGCTTTAAAAATATTCGACAACGGCGAAAGACGACAAACGTCAACTGCTGTTCCAGTAATTCGAATTTATTGTATTTGTGCGTTTTGAATCCATTTTATTCCGTCCTCGTGTGATCGGCCACTCTTCCTCTGCTTCCACAAGTAGGATCTAACACACGAGCATTATGATCATTGCCTTATTATAAACCTCGTGTGGTCACATCATGTATGTACCTTGTTTTAACTAAAGAGTGAATCGAACTTGTAATTCTACAATAAAATGTAGGAAGGATATGCAAACGCCTTTCCAGAATGAATGACCACTTCCTGGCGGTCCTGGATTGTACCTTCCTAAATATGAAGTCCTCGCGAATGCCAGTTATACTAAGCCGACTCATAAACGAGCAGTAAGGAAAGTTTTGTAAGGTTGACCGACTCATATTATAAAATCAACGTGGATTTGGAAAGGCTTGTTGGATTACATATTTAAAGAGTAGGCATAAGGAACATAATGTTAATTTTAATTTGGTGACTCTCATGGCCCTCATATTCTGGATGGCCCCTGCATACTAGGACGCATCCTAGCTGTATTGCCTTCAGTAAAATTGACAACAAAGGATAATGAGCGACCACTTAGCATGGCCACGAGATAAACCTCCTTGGCGTCTTTATGTTTCCTATAAGCCTGTAAATATGTAATTGTACACACAGATATAATGTAATACTGTTGTTGTGAATTTGCATGGAGGGAACACGTTTGCTGTGGGTGCTAACACCAAGTGTAGTTTCAGTTACCTGTCAAACAGAAGTTACTGACGTATTCCCTCTAGCCTGGCATTCGAAAGGTCTGGGTCTAGTCCCTGCCGTTGTCATTAATAATAGAATAAGTTTCGGTTTCATGATGACTAGTCATCTGAAGACGGGCGTAGAGCTAACTCCCGAAATGTGGTATAAATCATTTACACAGTGGGCAATTCAAAATATAGTGTTCCATAAAACGGGAAATAGTTTACAGCAAGCATGTCAAACTCGCGGGCCGCATGCGGCCCACAACGAATATTTTTGCGGCCCAGCCAATATAACAGTATGTAAGAAACGTTTTAATAAAAATTTCGTAACTTAATTTGAAGGCAAAATTCAGTGAAGTTGGCGTGCCTGGATTTTACAAATATTTACCTGCCAGGTTTGAAAATACTCGAAAATTCGCATATGAAATTATTTCCATGTTTGGAAGTACTTATCGGTGTGAGCAGTTATTTACAATTATGAAAGGAAATAAGTCTCCTGTCAGATCCAGAATTACTGACATTCACCTTGGGTCAGTTTTGAAAGTAATCACTGCGAACAAGATTTCCCCCGAAGTAGGAAAGATAGTAGCAGAGAAGAGATGCCAAGTGTCAGGAAGAAAACATTAATTTTATCGTTGTTCTTGTTCTTTTTTTTATACTATACTTTTCGAAATAAACCTATGTTTCTATGAAAATTGAAGTTTTTGTTTTTTTGCGACCCACATAAACTTAAACCTTGTTTATTTGGCCCGTGTTAGCCCTTGAGTTTGACATGCATGGTTTACAGGAATTGAAAACATTAATTTTCCCTGCAGGTGTTGAGAAGCACAGAATTTGATTCTGCGCTTTGGAAGGCAGTGTTTGGGAATCGCACTAATATCATGCGAATAGTAAAAGAAAAAAAATTACGTTCCTCGTTATCTATTTGTCTTTATTAGTCAGAACAAAACTGACCACAACTCTGCAGGCTCCACTACCTATTAAATTGCCCCGCGGAAGACAAATTTTCGACATTTTGCTTTTCTGTGTCCAAATGAATACCTGCTATTTGTTAGAGCTTGCGTACACCAGCGATTTGGACCGCAGCGGGGTTTTTTTACCGCATTTATGGAATGTACTGTTTCAATAGCAAGCGAGCGCAAGTGCGGTGGCCGCACAGCGGTTGGCGGTGGCAATGGAACTCGAAGAACCCAACCTGCGTGCGCGCACGAGCGGCGAAACAGCCGCACGGCGACCATTGTTTGCCCGACCTTGGTGGCGATTGTACGCATCATGGATCTTGACAGCAAAATTTTTGATAATGATATAACTGACGAGGAGAAATGGCCGGTACTGTAAAGTAAGGGCGTATCGGAGTACAGTGACAAAAACTGTGGGTAGATGTCTGCGAAGCTGTACTTCCAAACTGGAGCCAACTTGACAAAAAAGAAAGTATCTGAAGAATTTTTTTGGATACATATTCAGGTCTTCATACAACTTGTGAAACTGGCCTTTCAACAATCTTTGACTTGCAGGTGGATGTACCTAAAATTTTATTCTACGCTTTGCCTTTGCTCTTAGCAGCAAAGCGCACACAGCGACCGTCTCAACAAAATCCATGCCTCGACTTATCAGCTTAGAACTTTCTCCACAAAATCTAGCTCCCAAATGAGAAGAAAACGCAAACACTGGCGTTTATTTAACCGTCTGTGCTTACAGCCCGCAAGAATCTGAGGGTGCTGTTTTCTTACCTGTGCTGCGAAAAAACCTCGTGCGCTCTAGAGCTTAAGCAGGAGAAAGGCTTTGACTGGCAGTGTGGGCCACATTGATGGCTGCAAGTCTGTGACCACAAATCCATTAGTCAAACCGTATTTGTTAAAAAGCTGCATTATTCTTGACAAGGCCTGTATGTTCCCCCACAACGTATATCCACAGTGCTAAGGTCTGAGTAACAGACAACACGTATATTGATTAAAAGTAATTATGGGGAAACGGTTTAAAAGTTAAACTGAAGGCAAGGTGCCATGTGTGGGGAAAATGTAATTTTCTTTGTTTAACGAAGATGAGTTTATGATTTGTGCATTGCTTGTTGCAGACTCAGATGGCAGCAGCAGTGGAAAAGAGGTGGCGGCGTTGACCGAAAAGAAAATGGCTAGGAGTCTTCCGCCAGTCAACACCATCACTTACACGGTAAGAGAATGAGGTGACCTCAAGCCTGTAAGAGTAGTTTCCATGTTGAATGAAACACGTTACATAATTTGTTCCTTGTTTGTGTATGAGTTATTGACTTTAATTTAAATGCAGCTAAAAAGCGCAGCTTCTCAGCTGTGTCATACTCCCATTAACTTAGGAGTCTGTAGTTAAATCGTAAAGAAAATTTACTGTAGTGGCTGCTCTATTTGCAGGACACTGAAGGGAAGATTTGAAATTGAAAGAGACAAGGTAATAGGAAGATGTAGAGAATTGCATAATAACAAACTAAGTAACTTGTACTCCACTGAGTATTCTTTTGCCCAAATCATGGACAGTAATGTAGCATGCATAGAGGAAATGAGAAATGCAAAAGAAATGGCTCATATCAGAGTCCAGAGTGGTTTGTTGAAATATGCTAAAGAACTGACCTGTGAAGAAGTGAAATTTCAAAATTCTTAAAATCCAAAAGTATTAGTTACCAGGCTTTCTGGATAAGGGGTCTGGAACTGAATACTATGAGAAGGGACTAATCGTTTTCATAATCGGATACATATTAAAGGAATCCATACTGTATGTTTCTGGAGAGGGTTAATATTCTCTCAGTTCTGATAATCATATCACAGTGCTAATTTGCATGTTATTATATTTTCAGATAGTTTAATGTAATGACACTATAGCGTGAGTGAAACATGGGAATTAAAATATGTTACATTTGACCAGAAGCTACCTACTGTAAGTTGTAAGATGATGTATTCAGTTTGGAGGGACTGCCAAATTCACTGCCATCAAATTTTGATGTAAAGGCCAGGAACTCATTTGTGTCTTCTTCTGATCAGCAAAGCATTGAATTTGGGCATATGCCAGAAAGTGTCTATCCCTGTCTGTCCCATGCATCATCTTCTTCTTCTATGGCACTCTGGTCCGTATTCAGTCCATGGCCTCCTCAATTCTCCTCTTCCATTCAGTCCTATTGTTGGGTCCATTCTGTCCAAGGCTTTGATTGAGGTCATGTATCATCTGCCAGTTTGATTAAGAGGTTCTTGCCATGGTGTGGTATGCATTGTGTAGCACAGTGTCAGTTATTCCATATTCCCCTGAAGATGTCTTCACAATGCCAAAACCTTAATTTCATGCTCTAATAAGCAATTTTGACGTGCGTCTGCCAGCTATTTTTATGAACAGTACAAAAGGAATTCAAGTATTTAATGAATTACTCAAATTCTCTTCAATATTTGGACTTTTTCTTGCATACCCTGAATAAAGTTGTCGCCTAAGGTAATTAATTGTATATTACACATCCATAGATGTTTCTACTTTGTTTCGGATCATTCACATCAAAATGTTGTTATTGATTGATTGTTAAAATTCTAATGGAATTTCCATTCTTTTACCAGATTTAAATAATGAAGATAAAAAAAGAAATTAATGTAGGTAAGCAGGAAACAAAGCAAAGACGTGATTTAGGTTAATTACTGGATGAATATATGGATTTCGTGTACATGAGCCCCATTTACCATGCCAGTGTTTACAACTGTTTAGTGTTGGTTTGTTCTGTTTTCCACTTGAAATAAAATGTCACACTAAGAGATGAGAGACTGTGCTTGCAGCCTAATATAGAAGTTTTAAAACTCCATTATCCTACTAATTTAATTGTCTGAATGTGCCAGCACACCAGCTTTCACTTGTGTCTACTTAGGAGGAATTTGTTTTGGCAGAATATATACTGCAGCTAATTTTGTTAAAGAACTTGTCACATTCACTCATGTACTCAAATTAAATATTTAGGTACAAATTTTCATTGTTCTCTAGAGATAATAAGGTATTTTTTCTGTTTTTGGATTCATGTGCAGTTGATGCTGTAATGTAACTCATGATCTTACCTGTTATTTTCTTTGTAGGTTGAAGCATCTGACACCCTGACATCAGTAGCTGCCCGGTTTGATACGACACCTTCTGAGCTAACTAAATTGAATCGACTGACTACCCGACTGATATTCCCAGGTCAAGTACTGTATGTCCCAGACAAGCAGGGTGGTAGTGCTCAGGGTGATGAGGGGCCTGGCACCAGTGTAGACGATGGTGAAGGATCTGTTGTTTCTACACCTACAGCCACACATCAACTGGAGGGAGACACTGAACTGCTTGAGGAGAAAGGTGGGAACTTGGTTGTCACCATGGTTTTCTGTTCATTCATCCAGCTCATATCACCATTCATTGATGGTGGTGTTCTGTGTGAAGTACTTTCAAAATCTGGCAACTAGAGATTTAATTTTCAGACGTCTTTTTATACAGTCTCATCATTGCTAGGATATTTGTTCTCTCAGTTCTCTCTACTGTTTGAATTCCAGCTCCTAATCCCTAGAAGGAATGCAGGCTACTACATGCACTGTCCGGTTCCTATTAACCTAACCCCTCTCCATCCAATTGGCACATTCATCGCCCTGATGACGGAGGCAGTATGACCTCTGAAACGTTGGTTAACATCAACCAGACTACACTGTGCAACAACCCAGAAGACAAAAATCTTCAGAGAAACACATATTTGTATAGCTAGGGAAGATTCCTGTCCTCACATTTCACAGTGCACTGTCTGGTTAATGCAGATGCAGCTCAGATTATTGGGATGAGATATTGCATGATGAAATTGCTGATTCTGGTATGTCAGTTTAATTGCAGTTATTGTCATCTTACAGATATTCTAGACAACCTACGTCCAGTGTCCCCAAAACCACTGTTGCCAGGACATATTGAACGTGTGACAACACCACTGTCACCCCTGGCATCACATATTGGTGCTGCTGCTCCTAGCAGTGAAGCTGATGATCGTCGATCAGTGGCAGAGCAACGTAACTGTGAAAGATTTCTTAAAATAAATGTTCGCCATATCACTGATGGACAGGTACGATGCCATTCCCACTACAGATGGACAGTAGTTCTAAATGATTTTCATCCATAAAAGTATGTAATAAATTAATATTTGGAGGTTTTAATTTGTATGGTTAAAGTAATATATAGTTCTGTTGAATTTGTTTTGAATAATGCTGCACCTTCCTTTCAGCTGCAGTGTTTTAGCTCCTGAAAACTAACTCATGTACTTTTGTTTAACTCTCTTGACAGGGTGTTGTTGGAGGTGTACTGCTAGTCACACCTAATGCTGTTATGTTTGACCCCAATGTGTCAGATCCTCTGGTCATCGAACATGGACCAGAGTCATATGGAGTCATTGCTCCCATGGAGTTTGTTGTTAATGCTGCCATCTATTATGATATTGCCCATATGAGAGTGGGACATACATCTGATCTGCCACGGTAAATACTAAAGTGCTGAAATTTCTTTATTCATTTAAATATTTTAACATTTTTCTATGGGGGAAGCAATATAATATGACACCCAATGTAATGTATTTGTAATTCTGTAAATTGTGCTACATTTATAACTTAGTTTAACATTGAAGTCTTTACACAGCTGTAAACCTTTACTGAAAAAGATTTATTTATGCTCCTCCACTTCACTTTCACCTTCACTTTAGTGTTAAGAACAATGATAACTTTGTATCTCTTTGTTTATAAAAACATTAGCTCTGAGAATCTAAACTATTGAGGTTAAGTAGCCTGTTATGTTTATAGTCTCACTTAAGACAGTCAGAGGTAAGAAAGGAAGAAACAACTTCCATTTTAATCTGTATGTGTGTGGGAGGTTTCTCTTTCCTAAAAATGTTTATGAAATAATTTCAGGACACAGGATAGAACTCGATTATGGGTCTGAGAGGAGCATCCTTCTCTTCCTCCTGTTATGGTTAGGGATAATGTTAATATTTCTTGAACATGCAAATTTAGGTATTTAATGAAATTTTATCATTTTTGGGTGTTTTGTGTGATCTAGTGTGAACATTGAACAGCTTATGGGTGTGTGTCTATCTCATTTTACCTAGGAATTAGGCATTTTGCATGAACCCGAAAGTCTGTCACATTGTTGGAATACCTGATGACAATGATGGGAACTGAGGTAATTGTGACAAATTGGTACATCACAACCATGACCTTGGATAGCATTGTTGCCCTTTTGAGTCCAGAGTTCCTTTGTGCCATAGTTGTCAATAAATCACCCTTCTGATGCCATAATCCTTGTTATGTCATAAGAACATTTACAAATTTCATTATACTCCAAAGAGTACACCTTTCAGTCTTCTTAGAAGATTCTTCATGCTCTAGTGTGAGTGAAGAAGATGTTATGGGCCTATTAATGTTTGTCTGCCTTCCAAGTTTTTCCTAGGATCTAGGTAATATGCATAACACAGAATCATTGTCGGAACACATTGTCACAGCAGTGGGAACGTAACTAATTGTTTCAACAGTACAAAATGAGGTCACTGTTGGCTTACAGCAATAAACTTGGATACAATTTTTGCAGTTGTTATTCATTTCAGGTAAGAGTGATTTAGTCTGCAGTTCCTTTGAGCCATGGTTATCAACAAAGCAACCTGCTGGTGTAATTGCGTGTTATGTGATGTGAAGAACACTTTTGGAATTTACAGTGTTCTCCAAAGACCTTTTAATTGTTGTACTTTGTGTGGGGAATGTCTAGAAAATTATGTATAAATTTATTTGTTGTAGGAAGAAAAATAAAACTGTAGTAAAAAAGACTTTCTATGTACAATTTGTAAATTTCTTGGTGTTTTGGAGATATACTGAATAATATTGTTGGTATTGCAGGTCTGATGTTCCTAAACCGGAGATTTACCATGCTCATGGAAGTCACCACAGATCAGCACATGCAGTGGAAAACCCTCAAAACTCTCCAGGCAAAGACTCTTTACTAGTCAAAGATGAAACGTTTCCTGAATTGGCA